GCCATATATTGTCCAGAGGGAGTTCGGTGTTCTTTTTTATTTTTATTTATTTATTTATTTATTTTAGTCCATTTAACTCTAAAGACTCTTCCTTTTACAGAGAACCCACAATATAGCAAAATAAACAGTCCTATAAACTCTCTGGAACACTACATAAGGGATCAGCTCATTTACTTAATTATCTGAGCAGAGACGGCCCTGTCTTCTACATGATGTGTGAAAGAAGAACCAGAAAGGGTTGAATTAGAGTCTCTAATTGAGCAATGCCCAATCTCCATGCCACCCTCACTTGGCCATCCCTGTACAAAAAGACAAGTGCTAAAAATTTCCTCCTACACTTACAAAGCACTCTTCAAGCAAGGATCTCAAAGCACACCACAATTAATAAAATCACTCATATCCTGTCTAGATGAGTAGCATGTTATATGCATAAATTCCTCTCTTCCCCCAGGCCCTACAGGAGTAGAATGTTTCCAATTTTAAAGAATGAGCAATAGAGTAATTGAAAGGAGCTGTACCTTGGCCGATGCAAAGGACCTCAAAGGCATTAATAGTGACTATATGAGAAAACATGGTGACCACGAAGTGTATCATAATGGCTTGTCAGCCGTGTTGTGCTAAATGATTCAAAGATAGAAAAGACAGGGCAATTCTTTAGAGTCAGCTACCCTTGGGATCCATATTCTGATCTATTTGGTCAACTCTCCAAAGAATCTAGAAGCCATAAAGTGATGGCATTAGCTGATGATCCAGTTACTTGGGTTAATCAAGGCAAAGGGGACAGACGGGGCCAATTAAGTAGCTGGGCAGCTCAATGATAGATGAGTCATTATGGGCAAGCGCAAAGATAATGCCACTGGGAAAACAATTTAAGTCATTCATGCACTTCCGGGCCAGGAAATCCTTCTAGTCTTTGAGGGGGATCATTTAGGAATCATCAAACCAAGCTTGATGAAGTCATCTATTCATTGTGTAGCTAACGATCAACAAAAGAACTAAACGTACAAGGCGATAGGACATATGGAATACATTTTGGTGGCTGGGATGTAGATCTGTGACTTCATTTGAATCACCTTCTTTAAAACAAGTCTTACTCCAGCCCTCTTCTTCTTTTCCTTCTTCTTCCACAATCTCCCCCTACTCCTTATACTCCCCTAAATACTCAGTTTCAGTGTATAGATGAGATTTTCTTTTAATTAAAAACAAATATTCTCCTCCTCATTTCTAGTTCTGGCCTTCAAAGAGGTGCTTTCTGTACATATACAAGTTTCCAAGGATCACTTCAGCATGTTACAAAGCAATTCATTTTTAAGCACCCAGGAGGTTTTTCTATGCAGCAACATTTATATAAATCTGGATTTTGGGGATTGAGGGCTTATCTTTTCCTTTTCGAAGGAGGTGGGCAGGAAAATAAAAGCATATATGCATTAAACTAAACCATATTTGCAGCTACCTGTTTCTTGAAAACCAAAGTCCCAACCAGGGACCCCAAAGTAAAGGTTATCAATGACTGCCATGTTGATAAATTCAGTAAAACTATTTCATCTCCTGATTTGTCTTCTCTCACTAATTGCTCTGTTTGTCTCCCTTGTAAGTTCTTTCTCTTCCCAGCCACAACATGTTGGATTCTTCTAACCCTGTCCTCTTTTTTTTTTTTTTTTTAAGAAAATCTACCCATCACTCTAGCCTCATCTTGCCCCACATTTAACCACATCTTACCTGGTTCTCAACGACTCTTTTCTTCCACAAACCATTTGACCATTGCTCCTGTTTCCTATACCTGAAATGTTCCCCTCTGGTTTTTTGCCTCTTAACATCTGTCTACCCTTCCAATCTCAACTCACTAAACATGTATTGACTTCTAGTCATATAGTATTCTTCACAGCACTCATTAGAGTTGCAATTTTCCATCCATTTGTAGATGTCATATCTGTCTGCCCACTAGACTAAATGCTCTTCCCTGTTTCTGTTTATCCTCCAGTTGCTACTCACTAACCTTGCACTGCCCACTTCTCTTTTTTATGATTTATCATCACGGCCACTGACCAGCGGCTTCCCGTGTCTTATAGATTGTGATTATAAGCTTTTCTCTCTATGTCTCTTAATTTCAGGTCTTAATGCCAATTGTTGGTTTTCTCTAAATTTTTCACATTCTCCCTCTACCAGCAAGAGGACCTTATTGGTTTAATTCATATTTATTATCTCTTTGGTAAAGTTCTCATGATAGAACAATTCATGGCTCTCTGGCCAACACCCAAGTGGACTGGCCTTCAATCAAGAGTGTCGTGCATCCATTAGCTGTGGCCAGCATGGTAGAATTGAGACATCAGCTTTCCTGAAGGGAAATCCAGATGCTTTCTCCATCATAACCTGCTGGCAGAGTCAGAGAGGAGTCTTCCTTGAAAACCGGGCTTAAGTGAAGTATAGTAACAGAGAACAAGCAGAGGCAACTGGATCATTCAACACCCCTCCTTCTTGGTTGGTGTTCTCCTCAACTAAATTTCTGTTCTTCTGCAAATATTATTAACACATTTAAGATGCCAGAGAAGTCGGGTAGATTTGGGCCTGGTAAGCAAAACTCTCAGGGAAGAGCTGAAGTGTTTTGGGAGTGATAGAGCCTACTGAAAAATGTCAGATGATTGGATAAAGAATGTGCCCTTTGGGGGCCTATCTACTTCTGATTCACCCTTACTTTTCAGGAGTAGCCCATCAGGCCCAACTAAAGTGAAGGGAGTTCGCTAGTCTTCCCCTGGGGCAGGCCTCAGATTCTAGTCCTTGATGTCCTACTCCTTTTCTCTACAACATGAGGCTGTTGAAAGACTGCTCAGTCCTCAACATCTGAACTGCCTCTACTAGAAAAACTTGGTATAACAATGATTCTAACAGCTGGAAGAGATACATTTTATTGAGCTTGTAGTAAAGAGTTGGCTATCATCCATTACCTGGATAGACATCATCACCATTGCTACTCTTGGCCATAATGTAGAGGTTAACAGCACAGATTCTAGAACTCAGTTACCTGGATTCAAATTCTGACTCTGCTACCTACCAACCATGTGAACTTGGGTGAGTCACTTGACTTTTTTTCATGTGTAACATGAGAATATAGCATCTAGTTCAATACAGTTGTTGTGAGGACTAAATAAATTATTGTCAAGTGCTTTATGTGAGTTGCAAGTACTGTTGTGGTTGATATTAGCATTGTCCTTTAGAGGTAACTACATCCAATAAAATGGTCACCTGTGTTACTCAGAACACATTTGGTTATAGGTTGTATAATGCAACTCAGAATAGCTTAAGAAAAAGAAACATACTGAGATAGTCCAAAAGACAGACTCACTTAGGCATGGCTAGGCCTAAGGTTACAGTGATGCCATCAGGACTCTTACTGTCTTGTACCTTGGCTTTCTGCATTAACATCATTCTCAAGCAGGTTTCCTCCATGTGACGACAAACAGGTAGCTTCGGATCACCTCACTTATATACTTCTTCAACAGATCGGAAAGACTCTGATAAGCCCAGGTTATAGTTCATCATTATTGAATCAATAATTACAGGGATGAATTATTCCAATTGGCTAGGCCTTGGTCATATGATAACCTTGTAGAAAAGAGGAAAGTCAGGTCCAACTCTGTCTGAACATCATGGACACCTGGAGGAAGGACGTTGAGCAGGAAATGTCCACTGTTCTCTGTCAAGACACAATCTGGGACCATTTCTCCAAGAAGGAACTGGAGAACTGTGATTGACATATTTACTGAGATGTTAGCCATTTTCCATCTGCAGAGTTGCAGACACCCAGGAGTGATGTTCAGAATATTGAAACACCAGTAAAGCAAAGACTAATCAGTTTGAATAAAAACCCAACCAATCATAATGGAAGTCAGCTATAGCAGCTGTTCCTGCTCCACAGCCACTTTGCATTAGATGCAAATGTTGGACTGATTTCTGGGGGACTTAAACATCCAATTCTGTTAAATCTTCTGTATCAAGCACAAACACTCTGGATTTGGCTGGTTTGCTCACTTGCCTCACTGGAGATGGTAATGGAGTAGACAGATGTCTTCAGAACTCTTTCCACTCTTTAATTCTCTTTGCCATCACATATGTGTAACCTACCCCCAGGAGTACATGGAGTACAGAGGCTAAGCTTTTGAGCTGAAGCACCAATAACCTGGAAAGGGACACATGTTACCTTCTTTGACCTTCTGTTTGGAGCCCATGCTGTCATTTTTCGAGCTTGGGGAAAACAGAGGTCCCCTTCTTCCATTCACTTGATTCCTTTCCCTGTACCACTACCAAATTCCTCACAAAACAGTTCTGGTCTCAGCAGAACTTATCTTTGTCCAGGGATGTGTTTCCACTTCAAGCTCAGGTTAGGTGAAGTGCTCTTCGATTAGAGACTTGGATGAGAACCAACTTAAAGGGCCAGCTCAGCGTGGCTGAAAAGCTTCTACCAACAACAGGTGTGGTGTGTCTGTGTCTGTGTGTCTCTGTCTGAGTGTGTGTCACACCTTGTCGCATTCCCTTCCCGAGTTAATGTCTTTAAAGCACTTAGTATACCTCTGAAACAAATAACACATTATATGTTAATTTCAAAAATAATAAAAATTAAAATTAAAAAAATGACAAATAAAGCACTTAGCACAGAGTCCATACACAGCAGGTACCTAGTAAATGATAGCTTGTCTCCTTCCTTCTCACTAGACATGCTCTCTGCCCACTCCACCCCATAGGCTAGCCTGCCTTTACTTGCTAGCAGAACCTAACAGCACCATACCCCACTGGATCCTGGCTCCCAGACTCAGAACAGCTCTCAGACATCAATACTCATATCTGCTCACCAAGAGGTATTTCCCCACCCTATTTTGACCCCCTCCCAGCTAATGATGCAGGCCTGCAGAAAGACATAGGAAATAGGAATACTTGCTAAGTCAGTTTGACCTTTGCTTCTCTCTTCCTGGTGGGAATTGATGGATTTCATGTCTGTCTCCTTTCAGGGTTGCAGAGAGTACGGCAACTTGCAAAAAACACAAGATACTTCAGACAGAGACTGAATGAAATGGGATTCATTATCTATGGCAATGAGGAGTCTCCCGTCATCCCTCTGCTCCTTTACATGCCTGCTAAAGTAGCGTGAGTATTCAATGGGCTTTCAGAATAACCCCAAAGCCCCAGGGTGATCTAAGACAGTGTTTCTGACTCTACAAGTCTCTTTCAGCATAGGCAATGGCTATGTAGTTGGAATGAGGTACCAAGTTCAGAATTCACTTGCACAGTTTCTTGGAAGCCACCTGCCAGCCCATCAGCTGGGCCTTTTCACAGGTTCTCTAAGAAGAGAATCAAGTGTCCACCACTTTCAAGCCCTTTGAATTTGGGTGTCACCTTCTAGGTTCAACTGTAAATTAAGGATGATACTGTGCCTACTTCTGTCCCACAGCCTCTTTCAGGGAGAACTTCTGGAGACCATATCTCTCAACATTTGAAAACAAAATTACCAGACTCTGTGCTTTCTCCGCTGACCTTTCATGCCCATCCTCAGAAGAAAGCAGCTTTATTTCAAGTGTGGAGGAAACTGAGGCTGCAGACAATTAAATAGTTGCCCAAAGTCATACAAGTTGAGCAGTAATAAAATCAAGAGACTATCAAGAGGCAAACCCAAACTTAGGCTTATAATCTTAACACTAAATTTTAATGCCTCTCCTATAAACCTATGTGGAGTTGTTTCCCATTGACTGCAATTCTGAAATTGAGCACGAGAACAACTACATAAAAAGAAAAAGTGACTTTTCCTCAATATGGCATAGACAGTTTGATACATGAGCCATTCTCCAACCTGCCACAGACTAACTACCTCTGTTATTAAAAGGAAGTTAATTAGAGTCCTTTCTAAATATAAAATGTTTATTTGGGTGTCTGACCATGTGCACAGTGGAAAGTAATAGTCAACATATATTTATAAGATTCTAGAAGTCTTAACTCTCCTGCAACATAACTCCATTGTTGGAAATTTCTGCTTGACTCTCAAAGAGTGAAAAGATTGGTAGAGTATTTCAAGTGTAGAGAAGAGATTCTGGGATTATCAGTTGAGAACTCATGGTGGATAGAACTGATTAATTCTTCAGAGTACATTCTTCTATCATTTCGCCACAGCAAAATAACAAGCAGTTAAAACCACACAGGAGTTATTTTGCAGGCCATACCATTACCACCAGTGGGCCCTTTGTTCACAAAACTGGGTAAGGCTAACAGTGTATGGAGTGGTCAAGAGGATACTGAACTACAGAAACGTCCCACAGGATGCTGCTCGGTACTTAGGGCAGGGAGGGTTGGCAACAGGGATTCAAAGTAGCATATGATCCTAAACATCTGATTTGGGGAGGCAAAATGAAAACCTACGTTTGTTCAGAATGGTTAGCAAGATGGTATGTTCTGGAAGAAATATTCCACACGTAACCCATGTCTATCTCATATTTTATCATTAGCTCAGATGAAGACATCAATGATAAATTTGTCTTATTATTGATTATCTAAAGTGCACAGTGCTGGAGGGTGGTCGTGGGGAGCGTGCCGGATAGTTCTGACTTTGGTGGGGGAGGCTGGAACTAGAATATTAGTATGAATCCATGCCATGGGAAGAGTACTGAAGAGTTAAAACAAACGCATTTAAATTCAGGAATTTACCTTTGCAATAACAGAAAGAGAGAGGGAGTACTTCTGCTCCTTTAAATGCTGGGAGTCCTAACTGGACAACAGCTAATGTGAAAAAAATGAGATCAGAGGCTGTTATGTGTAAGAACTGTGCTCCTTGGTATAGTGAGGAGTTCGGAATGAAGAAGAATTTGACTCTGTCTCTTGCTAGCTGGGAGATCTTTGACAAGTTACCCAACTTTCTAAAGCCTCAGTTTTCTCATTTTTACGACAGGATGTAATAAGACCTGTTTCATAGTTGTTTCAGTTAAACAAGATGAGGTCTGTCCGCATACAGTCTGTTGTCCCATATAGGAGCTACTAGGTGGGAGCTGTTATTATTAGTAGTTTTAATTGTTAATGTATATAAGGCACTTAACATAGTACTTGGTATACTACCAGTACTTCATCAGTGGTAGTTATTATTACTACTACTAGGACTTCTGCTAGTACAATGATTATTATTATTAGTTTCAACTGAGTGTAAGATTGAGTCACCGTGGTTGCATGGCTCTCCAAAATAATTATTGCAATCTTTGGTTGCATTAATAAAAATAGAACTTTCAGGAAAATAGTAGGTGGAGTTATTCTATTGTGTGAATCAAATATGCCATGTTAGAGCCTAGATGATATGTCAAACCATCTAATGCCTTTCAATGAAGATGGTATTTAAGGAGGAGTGGATGTGGCTGAATGCTGATTCTATGCTAAGGAAGACTGTCCAATCCAGTGATCACCCACCAAAGGTGGATGCTTGGCCTTAATTTATAAACAAAGACACCAAGACCCACAAAAGTGAAATTGTTTACTGAGGGTCACTCAGCTTACAGGCAGCAAAGCCCAGAATTCAGAGCCAGTTCTGCTTGCCTCCTAAACCTGAGTTCTTCTCAGTGCCTAGCACAGCCTCTGAAGCTTTTGTCCACAGCGGGGGGAAACACATCTCATTAAGGCAAACACACAGTATGAGTTTAACTCTCAATGTCATCTTTGATGAATCAAAAGGCCTCAAACCCAGCAAATGGGAAAAACAAAACAAAACACTCTAGTTGCTTGAGTTGTCTAAGGAAACTTAGAATAGGTCAGTGACCAAAGGTAATGTCCTCTCTTGTTGGCAGGAGTTGCTGCCGAAAGTTTCTTTGCCCCCTGGCCTTGTTTTCTTCTCAGATATTCCTTCAACAGAAAGTTTATATGGAGAAAAGCTTTTGAGACAAGGAGTTAATTGTATAAGTCAATGTATGAGCACTTCCTTCGTTTGCTTATTTTTGACCCTTTGATTTTATTGAAGCATTGTGATTTCTCCACATGTCCATCTACTGCAGAATGAAAATATCCTCTCCAGCAAGGTATCTTTTTGAGCAAAGTTTCATTGCGACTCAACCACTGGAATCTTCTGCAACATTTGGTATCATGTGATTTCACCCATAAAACATTCATTTGAATAATCAAGAATATATTATATTTAGTCTCCGATACAGAGTTTACATTCTCCTTCCATGGGCTTCGTCATACACTTTCAGGATGATAGGATACGCGGTACAATGATGATGCCCATAATGCATTACTAACCACTTATTATTATTATCTATGTAGCTCAGCTTCTTTCAACTCACACTACAGGCTCTGATTTGTTTTGGGGAGTACAAACCCAGAGGCTCATTATATAAAATGTTCAGGGCAATCAGACACATCAACCAAAGGAAGCCAGGATTAGTAGTGTAAATTTTAAGGCTGAAAGTGCTCCAGGGAGGCCTCAGATTAGCCTAATGAATCAACAGTCCTATATTTTGTTCTACATTCTTTGGCAAAACTCACTTCCTCTGGTACAAAGAGAAACATGCAGACAGTGAAAATGGTCTTTGGGGAGTCCTGAAAATTAGCTTGAGATCATGGGTCAGGTGGTTTGTAGTCTAGCAATAAAAGCACTTGCCTTGTTTCTCAGATAATTATGAGCTCTCATCGTGTGCCTTTCCAAGGGCAGCCTTCCATAGGGTGAACAAGAAAAAGCACAGCCTCTGTTTTTCTAACTTTCTCAGAAAGCTTCATCTTCTTGTTAATCTTCCCTGTCCAAATCAAAGGTGAATCTCTTCTTAGCTGGGCCACGGGACCAGAGACACTGTGTTCCCTAGACCTTGCAATCTCCACCACTCCATTGATAACATGCATTCTCCATGAGGCAACCAAAAAGACACACAGCTCCATGGCAAGAGGAATGAATAAACGGACAGGCTAGTTCTCCATGTCTGGCTCAAGAATTCTTCCTGAGTTACGACTGGAAGGTTTCTGTGGTGCTGCTGTCCTCTTCCAGCCTTAAAAAGGACACCAGGAGCCTCTTAATGCTAAGAAGATCTGAGGCATTTACCTTGCTTGTGGGCAGAGACATTTAGTAAGTAAGATTTCCTGCAGAAAGCAACAGAGCACAATGTGGGGCAAGATTCACATAGGGGCGCATGTCTTTTTGTCTGACGTTGGCTCTTAGCACAAAAAATCTAGACTTTTGAGATTTTGATATTCCAGAACCATTACTGAGATTAGCTCTGAAAAAAAAAAAAAAGTCTAGAAGAAGATAAAGGCAAGGAATCACTGCGGAGAAACATTATACCCTGTAATCTGTAACACCCTGTGTCAAAAAGCTTTATAGTTATGACCTACATTCTACAGGTTGCATCCAAGGGCCAGCCTCTCTGTATGTACACATTTCTTCCCTGAATTCCTCTTACCCCGTTCCCCCTTTAACTCAGTCAATGGGTTTATCATCCTTGAACATACAGGGGTGGATTTATTCACACAACAAAAAATGAGGAGACCCTTACTATTTTTCACCTCTGGTTTAATGGGGGAAAAATACGGCTCTGGAGTGATAATACAGCTCGGGACTATCTCCTTTCAGACCCTCAGATCCTGGTTCTCAAATTATAGTCACTAAGTATAGGCTTCTTGAAATTTTCATGCTCTGTTATTGGTATTAGGTTTATAAAACATACAAGTTTGCACTTACTATATGTTCTTTCTTTATGCAATTGCATTTTGTTAGCTTTTGGGCTTTTGTTCCTAGGAACCCTGCAGACAAAGAATTTGTATATCAATGCTGACTCCTTAAACCAGGGTCCTGTACATCAGCATTTTCTGCTCAGTGTCAAAGACTCAGTACTCACAATGCTCTAATGGGTATGCCAGGCCCTATCATATGCACCCTCAGCTATGGGTGCGATCAAGACACTGTCCCCATTTCCTTGTCAATTACACGTAACAGAAGTTTAGTAATTTCAATCATCTCTATTTGTTGTTATCAGAAAAGTCGATTAACCACACTCTTTTTCCTGCCACATAATTTTGTCATCTCTCAGCTAACCTTCTTTTTTACCTTTCCCATAGGGCTTTTGCAAGGCATCTATTAAATAGAAAAATCGGGGTGGTGGTCGTTGGATTTCCAGCTACTCCCCTTGCAGAAGCTCGGGCTCGGTTTTGTGTTTCAGCAGCACATACCCGGGAGATGCTAGACACAGTGAGTACCCACAGGCCAACAGAACCTCTGGTACTGGCACTTTGCATTGTGAGCAGGTTCTTTTATTGAGCTAGCTTGGGGCTCCCTGGGTTTCTCTTGGTGGTTTAGAAAACAACACTCATAAAACTCACTGCAGAAAAACAAGGGATTGCCAACAATGCCCAACAATGTGGTCAACTCAGTGGATAGGAAAGAAAAATGAGTTTAGTGGAGACTTGACTCAAGGCAGTGTTTTGGTTTCATAGAAAAGACTGACTGAGTAGCCACATGTTGTGCTATTTACTTGATCTTAAATGCAATAGCTAATCTGATGTGCTATTTCAGCCACAATCACTCACAAACTGACACTTTTAGAGCCACCAAGCCCATCATATGAAAATACGACCCAACTAACCAACATGTTGGCAAAGACAGGTCCATCATATCATCCAGACCTACATTGGGTTTTAATGATTTCAAAACCACATTTCACTGTCCTTTGGTTTTGATCTTTATGGAAATGAGTGAGAGAAGACAACTAAACCATCTCAATTGGTTTGGAGTCAATGGAACTGTCTCCTAGTGTCAAGCAATTTAGCAAACATATTGAGTGTCTACTATTGTGCAAAACCCTGGGGCAAAAACTCTTAGAGCAGATACTAATAAATAAGCGACTAGTGATAACAGATAGAATAAATTCATTTTGGAAAAGAAATATAGACAACTGTGGAACATGAAGGTGGGAATTATATATGGGATTATATGAAGTCATTCATTATATATGACTGAGTTATTCTACATGAAGATGGAATGAATTATATGTATAGGTGTAATATACATGCACATATAACATGTATTATGGATTGTATGTGTGTGTATATGTAGTATGTATGTATATATACATACACTAGGAGATAGTTCTACAAAGAATAAAAAAGTGAATACTTTGAGTTCAAATAATAAATTATATACACAGTGTATTTTCTTTCTGCTTCTCCATTACATTCTTAGGACTTAAACCAGTGTCCTACTACAAAGTGCATACATTATAACAACTTCTTGCATGACACACTAATAACTGAGTTAACTCTAGGTTTTGAGATGATGGGTGAACTTTGTTGCATTGTTCCTTATAGCTTTCTATGTTGTCTAGGTTCTCCAATATGTGTATATATTTCTAGTAATTAATTTTAACAAGTTGTTTCTTTTAAAAAGAAATAGTAGACAGATATTCCAAGAAGCTTGACTGCAAAAGAAAGAAAAATAGTTTATAAAAGCCTTTGAAAGACTTGGGCATGTTTACACATGAAGAGAGGAAAAAAGTAATGAGAGAGAGGCAGTAGGCATAGGAGAGGAAAGGACATGACCGGGGAGCATGCTCTCAGAAATGACAAGAGGGGGTAGACAGCAGTGGGGAGTTTATATTTTTTGTGACCCCAACAGCATTGAGGTATTCATGGATACCCAGTTCTGGAAACATCAGACCTCAGGGTTCTCTTCAAACGTTCTTAATCCTGTTGAATAGTTGGCTTGGAAGGAGCACGGAGACATCATGTAGACAGATGCTTCAGAACTTTTGAAATCAGGCACCTATATCAATAAAAAATTGTGAGCATATTTCTTAATATGCACATATGGGTAAGTGAAAAATGACCCTTGAATAACCAAGACATTGAAGTAGCTAACTGAACATAACACTCACAGAAAATACATATACTAGACAAGTTCCTTCTATAACCATGTTTGGACCAAGGCAGAGATGAGGCCACTCTACATACACAAAATGGCTTAGAATTTCCTTCTTCTAACATGAGTTATGGCTGCTCCTTTACAAATGACCTCATCTTAGTCATCCCACCTGACCCATAAGAATTCTGCATAGAACCAATCTCTGAACTTGACCCACTCAGAACAACATCAACCCCGACTGGTCTCTGCTTCCTTAGAGTCATCTCGAGCACAAGTTCAAATGTGGGAAGAAGCCCTTCCCAGCTCCCTCTTACTAAGATGCTTCTTCTGTAATTCATGCCTGCCTTTTTTGAGTACACGTGTCCTCTGGGCCATCTGATAGTGGGCTTCAACATAAATCCACTTATAAGTTGTATAAGCACTGTCAAGATATTGTGTACATTTTATAGCAGATACCAAAATGGAAGTTAAAAAGACAGATTAAAACGACTAGAAATCCTATGTTCTCCCACACCTTCCATGAGTTGTCTCTCATCTCCTCCAAGCATGCAGATGCCCCACTCTGAGTTACTCTATCTCCACCTTCAGCCAAGAACAATAGACACTATTCTAGTTTGATGTCATTTCAAATATAACTTTTGTTACTTTGTCTTAGTGCTTAGATTTGATGTAAAAAATTAGGAAGTACATTGAAGTAAAAAAACATTTTAACCACCTATAATGCTACCACCCAGAAAGAAAAGACTCTTCATATGTTGGTGGATATCAAACTTGATACATTTGAAAGACTTCCCAAAGAGGAAAGTCCATAAGTCCCACCAGTCATTCATTCCAGAATTAACAAACATCTGCACCTTTTTCAAAACATTAGGTCCTAATGTTGTCCTCCTCATCTGACAGGTCAAGATGGCCTAACAAGTTTTAAAAGGCATACCTAATACCATAAGATCAGTGATATACTAGATGGGAAAATAACATTTGTCTATTCTCCATCTCAGTTGTTGCTTTGGAAAATTGAGGATACATTTATCTGCCTGAATGCAGAGAACTGAAACAGATGAGTTCTCGGTCCCTTGTGGTTTTAAGTCCTACAACTCTATGGAACATAGAGATGAGTTTAAGTTTAAGTGCTGGGGGTGGGGCAGTATCGGAGGGAGAAGAGGACACTAACCAGCTCCTGCAATGTTCCATTTTGCCCCTGACCAGATTGATTTGCTGTGTCATGAGGACATAAACCCAAATATAATCTGCAACCTTACCTCTTTCTTCCACAAGTTTAAATATAAGTCATTAAGAATACCTGGGTGGCTCAGTCGTTAAGCATCTGCCTTGGGCTCAGGTCATGATCCCAGGGTCCTGGGATTGAGTCCCACATCAGGATCCCTGCTCTGCAGGAAACCTGTTTCTCTCCCACTCCCCTGCTTGGTTTCCCTCTCTCATTGTCTCTCTCTCTCTCTCTTTATCAAATAAATAAAGAAAATCTTTTAAAACATATATGTAAGTCATTAAACTTCAAAATAAAGCCTGAAAGGGTAAGCATGGGTCCAATGCTTTTATTCCTCTCCTCACACCCCAAAAATAAGTTAAATATTTGTAGTGTGGGGTAGACTATTAAAGGATATGAAATAAAATGAATTAACATATAACATTCCTCGAGGGCTGGTTTATAAGCCACACCTTAGTGATTTGGATCTTCTCCTTTTCTTTAAAATCAAGGAAGTTGGCAATAGAAGATTATATCTCCGTGGGGTGTAGGGGGTTTAAAGAATAACTGATGGAAGGCAATTTTTTTGCAGGTTTTGGAAAACCTGGATGAAATGGGTGATCTCCTACAACTGAAGTATTCTCGGCACAGGAAGTCAGCGCGCCCCGAACTCTACGACGAGACAAGCTTTGAACTGGATGATTAAGTCTCCTGGTCCTGAATTGCACCTAAAGACTTTGCCAGAAAACCCCCCCTTTTTGCCTCAAAAGGAATATAAATGGATTTCTCCCCCTTTCCTAAGGACAATTTTGGTTTCCAAACCAGCTTAATTGAACTGAAGGAAATGTTGTGTTTTTAATGTCTCCAGCTTGGGATGGCAGAGACAAAAATATGGTTCCAGATTTTAAAAATTTTCTCCTTTCCCAGTATCCTGCTACAATACATCACACACACACACACACACACACACACTTCCTAGAACATTTTTAATGGCAATGAGCCTGTGTTTTCACTGCTACTGTGCAGACTCTCTGGTCCAGACTCTTTCAGGCATTCCAACCAAATGAGAGGGTTTTGATTTTTAATTCAGTAGATCTCATTATGGGTGTATTTATTTCATCTGCAGACGTGAGCAAGCGTGGTGGACAGGAGCTGACCTCCTTGTTTCACCCATGAATGCCCCCGCTAGAACTCTTCCGTATCGTGGGGAGCTCCAGGCAGGAGGGTAAAGAAATGTTGCTTCTACCATTTGCCACATTTGGACTTTTTCCAAGGACGAGTGTCAAAAGCCATAGTTAATGTTTGGAGGGAGAGAGCAGAACTGGCCAGCAGTGACTCCAGACGTCTTTGAAGGAAACGTTCCTTTTCCTCTTGCTGGTCTCCTACAGTTTTACAGCTGAGCTTTTGAGGTTTGGAAAACTCAAGACTTTTGTTTCATAAGGAAGGGGGCAGAAAGCAAACACAAGCCAATTGTAGGCTTAGATTCAAGCTGTAATGTTATGACAACTGGAAGGTTGTTGGTGCCATGTGAGTGAATGTTTAGCTTGCATACATAACCCTTATTACTTTAAAGAATGAGTTATCATTTTCCTATTAAATTTTTAGTAAATGGTGAGATGTAGTTTCCTTTAGAGTTGACTCACAAGACTATACTTGAATGTATTGATCCAAAAATGACATTAAAAGCAAATTCTATTCAACTTTTTCAAGACTGACACCCCCATTCAGGCCTATTAAATAGTCCTTACTGTCTGCTGGCACACACAATCCAATTTTGGTATAAAATGGGCTTACACACTATTGAGCAAAGAACTGTAATTTCCTTGAGTTCTCTCTGTCTCTCGCTCTCTCTCTTCCTCTGTCTGTCCGTCTCTCTTTCTAAATGTGAACACGAATTTATCTGGAATAGTACCATTTTGCTAATTGGTTCTTGTTGGTATGGAAAAAGCCAGTGGAAAACCTTATCTTTAACAAGCTCCCATATGGTTCCCAGATTTGGAAACTCAAAAGAGCAGTGGTGACCTTTTAGCAAAGCTTCTATACTAGTTCGAATGAGTTACAGAACATTCCACTCCATCAAATGACAGTATAAACAAATCACTTCAAGAGAGGCTTGACTTGTGACACAGATGGACCCAAGCTTTCATGCCGTACCCTGAGACAGAAGCCCAGCCAGGCACACTGGTGTTGGAGAGAGCAACACGCCTGCTGCTCACAACTGATTAAAGGATAAAGATGAGCAGTGTGGAAAGCTGTTTATGGGGAGAGTATAACCCCTATTAGGTATATCAGTTTAAAAGTAGATCACAACAATAAGGTTTCTTACACACATTTGTAAGGATCACTATCAATGGAAGAGGAGAGGAAGTGAGTTCTCACAATGCAGTTTCCCCCTCCAGTGACTAATTCTGGTAACTAAATTCTAATTCTTCCCAATGCATCAGTGCACAGTAACTATGCAAAGAAAATACATGTGGTATCCATGTCCCCAAAAAGGTCTTTTCTCTTGAAAATGTGCATTTAAATGAAATTGATTCTAGTTAGTTGTCCAAAAATGCATAAATGTCTTCAGTCCTATAAAAGGAACAGTAGACGAAGAGGACCTTACTGAGGTATAGCAAGCAATAAACCTCCCCTTCCGTTCTAGATGTCCATGATCTTCATATACACCTTCACAACTACCCTTTGAATTTTAAGCATTTAGAGGGGTGTCTTTGTGAGCTGCTATATTCGCCCATCTTTATGACTTTTATGGGGGATCCCGAGTCTAACTCATGATAGGAAAATATTTATTTATCCACCTGGCCTGAAGAATAAGGCGGGGGGCGGGCATTACTACTGCTTCATCAAGATCCCAGAGTCTTAGGACAATTTATTACATTCTCATGTGCAAGATTTAAAGAAAAAAATGAAAAACTATCTCTGTCAGAGGGAATCACTCAGGAGAACAACTATAAACCAAATGCAATGCTTCCTGAGACCATTAGGAGAGACCCAGATCTCATAGGGCTGGTAATAGAAGAGTATATGTCATATATAGAATGAGGTTGTTTAAGAGGGTGATCATGAGAATTTTTACTTTTTACAAGAAAACACCTACTGCTAGGTTATAAAACCACAATTTTAAATCAATAGGGATTATTGAGTCTCAATAAATATACCACAGTTCAAAATGTCCCTTCGGTGAGTTCTGTTAAGAGAATTTCCTAAGAAAACTCTGTTATGTTCCCCAACCCTCCTCTCATTCACGCACAAGCACATATGCACACGCATGCACAGACACATATCCACGCTTTACCCTTCCTTTAAGAGCAAGCAAGAATGTAAAGATACACAGGTGAGACTCTGGCTGGTTGATAGATAGATGGCAGATGTTTTAAAAGTGGCCTTCAGTGAAACAGAAGATAAAGGATTCAGACTAATATTTGTAGGGAGGATATATTTGCTTAACAGGGAAATGGTGAGATATGTCCCTAATCCCATTATGAATTGTGTTATCGTGGATGTTCGATTATATTGCCTTTCAGCTGTTTTGTTTTGACAGACACCATGGGCTTGAGAATTTGCTAGAAGCTTATCAAAATGCAGGTCCCTGGGACTGCAGCCAGACTTCCACTGAGTAAGAATAGCTGTGGTGCCTAGAAATTTACGTTTAGACAGCCTCGTCAGGTGCTTCTAATCCATGTCCTAATTTGAGAACCATTGTTGGAGCTTTTGTTTGCATAGATCAATTGTCTCTAGCAAAATAACAGAAATTTTGTCCTCATTCTCTGTTGATAATCAAGGGTGCTTATACTACTGAAGTAAAGTGAATTATTCCAACCTTTTCTCCTCAGTGGGATATTTTCTTCCCATTTTCCAGGTACCTTCTCTTTTTACAAAATTGAATATTAAGAATAATCTGCCTCTGATTATTTACTTATTCCAACAACAGCTCTCAAATCGGGTGAAAGTTTTAACAGTTCTTCACACATGCAGTGCTCCTCTGTATTTTCTACAGAGATAGCAAATACTACAAATGGCTTACTCTGACTTAAAATTTTTGATGAGGAAACCTTAATTTCCTGTATTTGGATTTATGGCAATAATAACAATTATACTTTGAACTTCTCTGGTGATTTCATGGCCATTTTTCCTGGTCTCCATATAAACAACATATTTGAAGTCTGTTTTCTCAGAACACTTTATGCAGCTGTGTAATATTTGGAAATTAAAAGGCGACTGTATTTTAAAATGTATCTAAGCAATTATTATGGGACATTGTCTTACAGTATTGTGTATGAGTGTGTGTGTCTGTGTTTCACTGAAACATTTGAGGTGACCAATTTCATTTCATTTTGCCTGTGAAATGCTATTTTTTTAATAGACAAATCACCAAAATAGACAATATAAAAATAATTGATGGTTCTGTGTTAGTTTGGATTACCCTAAATAGAGACTCAAAGATTTGCATTTAAGAATTTCATTAAGGAAAATGGGCAAGGGTGGCTGGCACTGGCTTGAACTCTGTCACAAGAACCAATTGTGTTCATCTATTCCCAACTCCTCCTTCTGTTACATCACTTTGGTAGCTTGAAATTGGCCATGCTGGAAGCATTTACACCACAGATATTGGCAAACCCTACACATTCAGGATCTGAAGAGCCACATGTTAAACCTTTACCAACACACCACTGAGGCCACACACAATGGAACTATAGGTAAGATAGAGCGATGAGACAGGATTGGAAAAGGAAGAAGCCTAATTATGATTTCATCATAGAAAGGTCTTAGTCACTCCCATGGGGAGATGACCCTTTAGAATTATCTCAAAGTGAAGCAAGGGAGTCAGGCTTCTATGTCCTTTCTGCCGTCAACTAATCATAAGATACAGGTTACCAAGTTAGAAGTGTGGGGGAGGGCATTACCTTTCCAAGACAATTCCATTCAGCCAAAGGCACTTCTTGGGGGAGGGACTCAGCTATGAACTGACAGCAGTCCATCCACTTAAAAATAACTATTCCTAATCCATCTCCATTAAAAAGGTTTTAGAATGGAAAATTGTAAACATAGAGTAAGAGGGAGAGAATAGTATAATGAACCCAAGTGCATCTGTCACCTAGCTTCAAAGATTATCTGTCCATAGCTAATCATTTTCATCTATTTCCCCCACTCACAGTTTACTTCAAAGCAAGCCCCAGAAATCTTGTGATTTTATTAGGAAATATTTCACTGAATCTCTCTAAAAGGTAGAGATGTCTTCAACAGTCCCTTGAATTTGTCTCAACCTCATTAAGAGTCTTTAGGATAACAAAGGCATGGACATGAGTCAAATATTAATCTTCTCATTCTTTTTTTTTAATTTATTTGACAGACAGAGACCACAGGTAGGCAGAGAGGAAGGAAAGCAGGCTCCCTGTCAAGCAGATAGCCCGATGCGGGGCTTGATCCCAGGACCCTGGGATCATGACCTGAGCCGAAAGCAGAGGCTTTAACCCACTGAGCCACCCAGGTGCCCCTAATCTTTTCATTCTTTATCTCATACTCCACCTGCAAATTTCCTGGATCAAGACTAGGAATTATTTCTAAAGCAGGTATGTGGTGTCTTGAAAGACAGCAAGTCAATCATTTTTTGGACACTTATCATGTGCCAGACACTCTACTAAGAACTCCGACATACATTATCCTCTGGACACCCTCGTAGAGATTAAGAGTGGACTCATCTTCTAAGGCCAGTGTGTTACAGGGGATTAGCAGTGTGTAAAGAGGACTTCCAAAGCTCCAACAGGGTCTGGCTTTATTTTTTCTGAGAATGTTGTATTTCTTTCCAGGAATTTCTTTCCAGGAATAAGAGAACAAGTGAGACCAACTTACCTGTTTGGAAATGGCTGATTCCTGTGACAGAGCTTAGGACAGAACTTGACATGAGTAAGTCAACTGCTCTGAAAATTATCACAGATACAAATCAATCAAATAGCCAACATCAGGAGGTCAGGGTAGAAGCAGGAGAGATTTTTTTTTTTTTCTGCTGTGACATGAAACAGTGCTCCCTTTTATTCAGCCCAGATGCTAATTTTTATATCAAAAATATTGATTGAAGAAGCTAGTGATTTTGGCTCTCACCCAAGTTTATTCAGGATCTTTCTTAATTAGGTTTGGGTAGGCTGCAATGCCCATGGTCAGGGTTAGGTCTGGCTCCAATCACCACATCATGTTCTCTACTTCATCATCAGCCAAGGAATAAGGCAAGGAAATTGCTGCTTCTTTGTTTCACCAGCCCATGAGTATGTTTTTCCCAGATTTTAAGCATGCATGGAGCAAATGTGTAAGGAAGACCAGAAGAAGTGTAATGGCTTCACTGTGATGAGATCAATGTAGCCTAAAATTTGACTGTGAGCCCCAGCAGGAACAAGGCTCCGTGTGTGAAAAGTGAATGGGTAGCAATGTGAGATCATGGAAAAAGATCTTGGCATCTTTTGGATGAAAATTTTTTACCAGACTGATGCAGCCAATCAGTCTAGGAGTGTTTAAAAAGAAAAATAATCTTTTTTGCCAACAATACATGATTTTTCCCATAATGTGTCTATTTTGTAAATAATTATAGTTAAGTCATGTAACTATCTTAATAATGTCCATACCAATTTCATATACTTAAAGTTTTTACTTATTTATTTGACAGAAACACAGAGAGGGAACACAAACAGGGGGAGGGGGAGAGGGAGAAGTAGACTCCCTGTGAAGCAGGGATCCCAATGTGGGGCTTGATCCCAGGACCCTGGGATCATGACCTGAGCCAAAGACAGATGCTTAAGTGACTGAGTCACCCAGAAGTCCCACCCACCCCGCAAAAAAAAAAAAAAAAAAAAAAAAAAATTGAGAGGGAAAAAAAGAATACAAAGCAAAGGACCAAAAAAGACGAGAGAAAATTTAAAAACTATAATAGATCCATATGAGAGGACAAATATCCATCTAATAATAACTTGAGAAAGAAAAAATCAGGAAAACTAAAGGCAGGGGGAAAAATTTTTAAAGAAATAAAAGAACTATTTCCCTGAGGCTGAAACAAAACAAAAGGTAGAAATGGCCCAGTAAGTGCTGAGCTGATAAATAAAAATAGCTTTTCACCTAAACATGTTTATGAAACTTTGCTACCCCAAAGATAAAATAGAAGAACTAAAAAGTTTCCAGCTGAAATAAAAAAAAACAAAAAACTCACCTACAAAGGTAAAAGTAATGATTTTATTTCTGAGTATTATAAATGTGCCCTCCAGGGGGCCTGGGTGGCTCAGTCAGTTGGGCATCCCACTCTTGATTTTGGCTCAGGTCATGATTTCAGGTTCATGGGATCAGCCCTGCATCAGGCTCTGCGCTGGGAGTGAAGCCTATTTGGGATTCTCTCTCTCCTTCTACTCCTCTCTCTACCCCACCCCTCACCTCCAGCGCTCATTTTCTCTCTCTCTCTCTCAAAAAATAAAAACAAGATAAAAAAATAAATGTGTTCTCCAGAAATTTTGTTCCAGTGTCAGACCCATTAGCAGTGTACACAAATACTCATTTTTCTAATCTGTGTCCATGCTGACTATTACCATTTTTATAATCTTTGTCAATTTGATGGAAGAAAATGGGTTCTCATTAATGTCTGATTCCCATTTACTAGTAATTCAGTTTGTGTGTGGATTGGCTATTTGTATTGGTCTTTTGTCCATACGTTGTTTGTACCCCCTGACACTTTTTCTATTGTGAAGTCTTATTAGCATTACTAGGCTCAAAAAGACAATGAAGCAATGCCTTCAGATTTAGAGGGAAAATAGCTTTAAATCTAAAATTCTATATCTAAAAAAATCTACCTAATTAAGAAAGGCCAAAATCCAGAAAGTTTATTTCCTCAATAATCTTCCTTTAAAAAATTATTTGACTAATCCTCAAAAATAAATACCTCCAAACTAGAGGAAGACATGGCATCCAGAAAAGATCAGAATTTATCTAGGAGTGCTATGCAAAGAAGTCTCAGAATGATAATTTATTTGTTAAAGTACATTAAACTTTCCTAATATGAGGTGATGAGCTTCTTTTTCTTTCTTTCTTTCTTTCTTTTTTTTTTTTTTTGCTCATATAGATATAAGTCAAAATTAATGTCTGGGGTTGGCAAGCACACTCCTCCACACAGTGTTTCAAGGACCCAGGCTATTTTCCCACCTGTGGCTCCATAAAGTCTTAAGACATAATCATTTCATAGATAATAATTTCATGTGTGGTTGAGGCTCTAGATTTCCACAAGTGAGAAAGGAAAAATGAGTGTGGAGGAAGCCCACCTCTTACCACTGTCTGATGAGTGACTTAACTCTGTCTCTTCCAACACATTCTGAGGAGTGTGGTGGAGCCTGATTCCACCACCCGAGGGAGTATCGGGAGATCGATAAGAAGATTTGAGGCAGATAACACCCTGGTATCTCAGTTCCTACAGACCCAGCCTCCTCCCCACCTCCTGGAGACCCAGCTGCTCCAACACCATCCTATTTACCTCTGTCAGATAGATGAGAGCTTATAAGCTCTATCCCTACTCCTGTGATGGAGGCCAGAGTCATGACCCCACAGCCAGCCAGCCTACAGGTCAAGCAGTCATTTACACCATTTCTTGTTCTCATCACCTCCTTCCATGTGAATGCATTCATCTGGTTCCTCAGAAATGACATGGGCAGGGGCTGTCACATCTGAATGCCCTCCTCAGCTAAGGCACCTTCGAGAAGGCTGAGCTGAGCCAGCTAGAGGAGAGGGTGTCACAGAGGTGGGTGGGTGTCCATCCCCATGCAGCTCTCAGGCAGGGAGACCTCTGTCCAGGCCACAAGAACTTCGGGCATGCTGAGTCTGGCCCGTATGCTCCTCAGGATGGGGAAAACGACGTGATAGTTTTTTCACTTCTGTGATCTTCACTCTGCCTCTTAAATTGTCACACCTCCCTTCGGGACCCTCCTGGGTTTCATTAGCGATGGGGAAAGCCAGCCACCCAGGGATTGGTACAGGTTTGTTTGGGGTTGACTCTTAAAATTCCACTTTCACAGGGTAATAGCCTGAGGTCAGCTCTTCAGTGAATGTTGGGAAAGAGAAAATATGGTGCATTTTATGGCTTGTTTATCCATCTGCATCTTCCCTGGTGCACGTTCCTAGAGTCTCTCCTCTCCTGGGTTATGACCTTTAGGGCATTTGCAGCCTGTTCAAAGCTACTCTTCAGTGACAGTTTAAGGACTAGGCAAGGTA